ACTCTTTCCTGCTTATGCATTTTTTCATACTCGATGATCTATTGAGGTCCCTTCTGACCGTAGCATCTATGAATCTATTTTGGCAACCATTTATTATCAAGCCCATTTTGCAGGGAAATCATCTATGATGAATATCACCAACCCAATCTTACGAGCACCCCAGATAATTGGACACTTATCATAGGGCAGGAAAACAGCAAAGAGCTCAATTCCAAATGAAAGGATTACAGGGGGTAGGGGGAAAGGTGGGAAGAAGCAGGGAAACTGGGGCAGATAATTGTGGATGGATTGCTGCAGTCTCAGGCTATAGGTTGTCGCCCAGTTCTTCCAAAGGAGCAACACTCCAGATGGGGAAAGAGGGAGGGGAAAAAAGCACTAGTAAGGAGTCTCACCTCAGAAGGAATGTGAAAGAAAGTGTGAAAGCACTGAAGAAACTTATAGGGTGTTTATACATGTGCTCGAGGAGGGAGGGCACTTTAATTAGAGTGGCTCTTGGAAAATGTCTCGGCTCTGAAAGTGTCATGTGTATCAGCATCCCTGTGCTGAAAAATGGTGGTGGGGGCATTTTAACTAAAGCTCATCAAATAAGCTTTAGTTAAAGCCCCCCTGCTGCCATTTTTCAGCACAAGGATGCTGATACACATGATGCTGGAGTCTGCTGGAGTGCAGTAATTACCATGCTCTAGCAGATGCGATTGAGTCTGCTCTGATGTGCTGTAATTACAGTGCATTGGAGCAGCCTTGCTGCATGTGTATCGATGCCCTAAAAGCCCAACATGAGCCAAATTTTTCAGAAGTGACTAGCAACAAGAGGAGTGCAGGGGTCCAACTCGAAAAAGTCTGACTTCCTGAATGTGGGTACCTTGCATTTCTGAAAATCAGCACTTCCAACTGAGTGTCCAGCAGTCTAACACTCAGAGGGTGGGTATCCCAAACCCACTTCTGGAAACCTCTTGCAAAGATACAGAGGCAACACATTAAAAGAAAGAGCATTACTCACAGAGATGCGAGGGCTTGCAACAGAGAGTGTGTGCAGTGCTATGATAACTTGACAGTTACTAGCAGTGGTGGCAAGATCCAGGAACAGGGGTGTGCTGGACTAAGGTACAGGAAGAGATGCAACAATTGGGGAATAAAAGGAGGGAGGATGTGTACCTGAGAAGTAGGAATAGCAATGCGAGCAATTTGCAGATCAGAGATGGCTTTTTCCTTAAGTGTAAATAAGGAGACAGCAATGTTAGTAGTTCTTGCTGGCCTTCTGCCTAGTCATACCTGTCCTTTTACATACTTGCCAAAGGACTTTTCTGGAGCCACAAGCATGTTTTCAGGGGGTTTCATCTCTTCCCTTTGGGAATTTTAGCCAGAAAGTGAATTTAGTCCTTTTACTTTCATGAATTCTTAATGTACAGTGAAAAGCCAGAAGCAGCACAGGCCCAGGCTCTCCATATCATCCCTTTACATTGTCATGCCCAACCCACTGATGTCCTGGCCCACAGCCTCCTGCTACCGTTGTACTAGATACAGCTCTTACCAGCAAATGTCAACTGCCTTCAGAGCTCCATTTGTTCCACTCACAAGCCTACCAGGAAGAGCAAAGTATCTGCCACTTACATTAGTGTTGTACAGGTTTTGAGTATCTTTTCCTTGCAAGACAGATGACAGACAAGACAATATAAATGCCATCCTCCACCCAGAGGAAACATCCATAATGCAGATGGATCCAGGCCAACAGTAACTTGGCTTGGCTTGAAAGATGAAAGTGCTGGATGTTAGATTCCCGGCACCACCCGCAGGATGCAGCACCAAGGCACTTACCTGGCCGCAGGACTCTGATCTCTAGAAGGTTAGAGATTCTGTCAGCCAGTCGCGTCCAACTGCTGTTGTAGTTCTTCCGCCACAGTTCAGCCACGCACTGGTATTTCCCTGCCTCTGTGTCGCTGGCACGGCTGATGCTGAGGCGCACATTATTGCTAGACTCTGCTTTCTCGATGGCAGTGCGGGTCCGGAAGCCCATGTATCTCTCCCCCCACTGGACCCCGCCATCCCGAGTGAAGGTGACCAGGTCGTGGAATTCTGTGCTGCCCGCTGGCTGGAACCGCCATGTCACTGAGACAGGGACCCAGGATGGGTAGTGTGGTTTGATGATGCACTGTAGGTCAAATGACTCATTGTAGGTCACCCCGGGAGTGCGGGATATGGCTGTGACAGCAAAACCAGCCTCTGAAGAAAAAGACAAACAAAAGGAAGGCTTTAGAGAATTGGCAAAGCTCTGAAAGATGAGGCCTGGCACAAAGCAGTTAGTAGGCAATGGTCTGAGCAGTAATTCTCCAAGTATGGCCCAGGAATACTGGGACCGTCACATGACACTGACTCTCCCAGTTCCCGATTGTCAAGTCACATTAAAAGTTAAAACGTCAAACAGTACTTGAAAGCAAACACATAACAATAGCAAGAGTCTGGATAGGCAATTCCCAAACTGGCTACAGATAGGTTATTTGGTTCCCAGTAGGTGGAAAGATAACACCTGAAACCCTAAATGGAAGAGAAGAATCTCCTCTAGCATGAGGCCACTTCATCAAAATGGTCTCAAGAACCCTGCTTGCCTATGTTGTTCTAGAAGAGGTCTGGGCCATGTAATGACTGAAAAAAATAGGTTAATTTTGGGAAGTAAAGACTCTGGAAATGTGTTTAATGAGCATTCATGAAAGGAAAAGGTACCATATTAATTGCCCATTGCAAAATCTCTGCATCTTATCACTGGAGGAGTTCTAGCAGACACAACAGCAACCATTTGTTCCCCAGGAAAACACGCTGTCAGTCCCTGCTCAGAGCAGAGACTGCAAGCCTGAGAAGTCTGGTTGAACTGCCTCCTCAGGACAAGATAGTTTTGTGAAGTATGAAAGGACTTTTCTTGATGACCACACAAGAATCAGATTTAAGTTCTCAGGCCCTTAACTCTCCAGATGTACTCACAGAAGCCAGCATGTTTGTCAGTTCTGGATTAAAGGGGCACAACCCTGGTTTAAGAGAGGAATCAACTTTTTTTTTTTTTTTTTTTTT